CCCGAGCCACGCCCACGCCGACCGAGGCCTGGCGGGCTCACCTTGAAGTGCTTGTCGATCTTGGACAGGTTGATCCTCTTCTTGGCGTCCAGCTTGTAGATGTTGCTGACGCTGCCGTCCATCAGGTACAAGCCAAAGCCCATGACCTGAAAGCACAGCGTGGCGTGGGGGCTCGGCCACAGCCGCGTCGCCCGCAGCAGCCGACACCTCACTGCGGGAACCCGAGGGTACCCTCGCTCTGCTCTCCTTTAAGCTGCCAGGTGGCACGTGCGCTCGCCAGGGACAGACAGACAGGACAGAAAGGGCAGGCACACCTCGGGGCCTGGTCACGCTGCCACCCCTGCCGTCTGCCCACCTGGCTGGGACTCGAGGCACACGCACACGCACCCCTGGAGCGTCCCGCAAGCTGCTGGGGTAGGAGGCGAGCCGAGACCGACCACGTGGGACCTGGCTCTGTCTGCAGAGCTCCCAACCACTGCTACGGCGGCCCTCGGCCTTCTCTGAAAAGGCGTCTACAGGCGCTCCGGGAACGGCCACGCCTGCGCAGCTTTCTCGCACGGCGTCCTCCCAGCACCCGCGCCAGCGCCCACTGGGTGAGCACGGCACTGTGCGGATGGGACAGCGCAGCGGAGGGACGGGGCTCCCAGTTGGCACTGCCAGGCTCGGGGCGTTAACGTCACTGACCCAGGTGCTGGCTGAGGCCCTGTCCTACGGGCCTAGTGACGAGGACCAGCGAGCGCCGGGCCGGGGCTGGTGTGACAAGCAGCACAGCATCAGCCCCAACAGCCGCCAGCTCCCCTGAGCGTGGCGTGGGCGTGAGAGAGAGAGAGTTCTGGGGACAGGTCTTCCTCTGGCTAGTCTACGTCCTCAGAGCGCCCGAGATCCGTCTCAGGGGGTGTTTGAGGCCGCCCGCTTAGTGCTGCGAGCGTGTTTTCACCGAGATGTCGGGAAGGGTGCAGGCGTCTGCCTAGTTGCCAAGAGCTGAACAAGCAAGCCCCCACGGCCTAGGCAGAGTGGAAGCCTAGCTAGAACCGCCTGTCCCACTGCGGCCACCAGCCCTAAGCTCTGACACATGCCAGCGGAGCCGCGCCCCGAGCCGCCACCCAGGCACGGCGTCCCGTGGAGCCCGGCCACCTCCCGGAGCTCTCCCGCAGGGAAACAGTCTAGGCTGGGCCCGTGCGACACCCAGCACAGAGCCCGGACGGCCCGACAGAGCCGAGGGACAGCAGGGCTGCCTGCCGCCCCGTGAAGGGACATGGCGACCACCTCGTACGGGGCAGGGAGAGCTCGTGGCGAGCGGCCAGGTCTCCACCGACAGCAGGGCCTTTCTAGGGGACTCATGTGCCGGATTCCCAGGACGGCGGCCGACCCAAGTAGTCACTCGCTTTGTGTCCTTTGTAAGACAGAGACAGGGAGAGAGCCGGAAGGGGAAAGTGACAGCAAGGCCTTTAGGACAGAGTCCGCTGTACCACAGTCCTCCTGCCCCAGCGCCCCGGTTAGCCAGGACACCGAACCGGCCCCAGGCGGAGGCGCGCCCTGTGCCACCCCGGCCGCCCGCCAAGGATCCTGGAAGAAGCGTGAACGGCAGCTTCGCACCGAGGGAAACCTTGACCCAACAGCTGCTGGCCAGGAACCCCTCCTCTGAGGCCACTGTGTGACACGTTCCTGGGGGCCTGCTGTGTGCAGGGGTGGGGGCGTGTGCCCACACAGGGCGCCTGAGCTGGCCGTCCCAGGGGGCCACCGCCTCGAACCTTGAGCAGCATGTGCTTCTCGCTGGGCGTCAGGTACATCCTGTTCTCGTAGTAATCCACGCACAGGTTCACGATGTCCGCCAGGAGCTCCTCGTAGCCCGCGATCACTTCCAGCTGCTGCTGCAGGGACTGAGAGGCAGAGGCCATGACCGGGCCAGCCCGGCCGGCGACGGACCCCGCGGCCAGGGCCCAGCCCTACCTGCGTGATCTTGTTGTGGTTGGCCAGAAACATGGACAGATTCTGCGACTCCTGGATGGACTGCGGGTCCGCCATCTTACGCAGGAACTGGGCAGCCCTTAGAGAGCAGAGAGAGTGAACGCCGATGCCCAACACGCTGACGGAAAAGCGGGGAAGGCCAGGAACCCCGTCCTCGTGCTGCAGTTAGCCGCACAAAGGTCGATTTAGAAACCCGTTATGACTCTGGCCCCTGGAGCACCTCTGGCCTGGAACGCTGGGTGGCCTTTTGCCAACTGAGCCGCAACTCACGTGGCCCCAGGTGGCTCAGCCCTGCCACCCTCCACCTGAAGACTTGCCCGGGGTCTGCGCGCTGACCTCCCCCTGCACTAGCGGGCGTCCTCCTCGCCCTCGGGACTGAGACGGGCCGCCACCCTCCACCCCATCCTGTGACTCCCAGAAGCCCTGCAGGGAATACCGCCGGTACCATCCAGGTTCTCCGTGAGAACCCTCTGGGCCACCCTGTCTCCAGGAGTGTGTCTGGCCACAGCACCAGGGAGTTGTGAAGAAGGCCCATGAGAAGACAACTCACTGGGCTCCCCCCATCTGTCCCCTCGCCTGAGCCAAAAGCTCACGGGGAGCCATGCCCGCCCCTCTCGACCTCCCACAGCCCCTGCTCCGAGCACTGACTACAGCACAGGAAGGTCGACGAGGCCAAGACAGCCTGCCACAGTCTGCGGGCCACGTGGATCCCTGCACTGACAGCACATCACTGCTGGGGACCCTGGCTCACAGGCGACAGGCAGATGTGGCAGGGGGGGGCCGATGCCCCCACCTGCCCCTGCCGAGAGGCCC